GAATTACTTACTCATGTGGCTTCTGTGTGCTCCAGGAAAACAAAGGAGGGAGACTGGGCTTTATGGAAGGCCTCCTTTCTCCTCCCAGATGGCTGGGTAACTCCATGCAGAGCAAAAATTGGAGTGGATTTGGAGGATTTTGCTAAAAGTGAAGGATGCTGCAAGAACTTTTTGCTTGAGTAGGAGCGGCTAAGGAAGAATAAAGGAAATTGCTCCTTGCCTCTTCTGACCATGCAAAGATAGGGGTCTCAGTAGATCTTTGGAGATAAGCTCAGTCAAAGGGGGCTTCGTGGCCTGGCTATCTCCTTCTTCCAGGTGTAGCCCAGATGAAACAGAAAGCTCCTCCATCCTCAGCTTGTCTTTACTCTATAGAAGAGAGGTCTAGGGGACTGTCCTGTTCACCTGGTTGGAGAGATGTGCAGCCTACACTTAGCTGCCTAGCAGAAGCAGGGCAGAACCTGGGCCAGAATGCAAAAGAAACCACGGATGCTGGAGGCCATAAGTCTACGTCCCTGCCCTTTTCTTGGACACATGGATGAGATCAAGAAACCTGGACTGGTTCTGCACACAATTGGTTAAAAAACCAAAGCTGCATCTGTTGGAGCATTTACTAACCAGACATAATACTAAGAGTTACCATTTACTGGGTACCTTCTCTGTGTTAAGTATCTCATTTAATTCTACAATATCTCTTCATACATGCATTTTATAGATTTTCAGGTTTCAGGAACTCATCCAGGGTTGTACATTTAATCAACCAGGATGCTAATTCAGGTTGATTCCCCCACTCCAGATCCTATGCTCTAGTCCAGGGTTTCTCAGCTCTGCTGACATTTGGGGCTGAATAATTCTTTGTTGTGAGAGGTTGTCTTGTGTATTATAAGATGCTTAGCAGCACTTCCGGCCTCTACCCATTAGATGCCAGTAACATCTGTCCACCTTCCAGTTGTAACAATCAAAAATGTCTCCTCTCCTCCCCATTAAGAACCACTGTTCTAGTCTAACCCACCATGTGTATTGTTTCCTGGTACTTTTTAAGTGCAACAATAATATCACCCTACCCTATAATTATATATCATTTTACAATGCACCAAGTACTTTTACAGCCAGTTTCTTTTCATGGCATCCAAGTGCATGGCAGGATTTAATCCTGAAAGAGTTAACCCACTTCAAAATATGGACACTACTGAGAGAGCTATATACTTAGCCTTCTCCAAGATATTGAGAGAAAAGAACATGAGTGAAATCCATTTAATCTTTGGCCCCATAAGCCATTAGGAGAAAAACTTTTGCTAATGCACCGTTCTAAAATAGCACATTATGTGAATTTCTGCAGGACAAAGTGTGTTCTTTGTACTTCTCTTTATCTCCTGTACATACTTGCCTAAAACACAGAGAACTCTTACTAAATATCAAGCATTTCATGAAACATCTAATCACGATCCTTAACTATTTGATAAAACAGTGCTAAATTATATTTCCACGTTTTGTATCTTCCTAATTTACACATATATTTTAATAAAATTCATAAATCTAAAAAAAATTAATGGCAATATTTATGGAAAAGCTAAAAGCACAGTGCCAGATTATTTTTCTCTGACATTTGAAAAACAAAGCAGAGCAAAATTCAAGTTTAACTGAAGCAAATGTTTGCTGGAATCATCCCTCTCAATACAGGCCAAGATAACTGCAGCTATTTCATTAGAATATTTGATTGGACCAAAGGGAAAAGTTATAAGAGAAACTTTTAAACTTTTTTTTGTATAGATTTTTACTAAACTATTATACCTTATACACAATCAGAACAAGAATGTTTGGTTTTAAAAATATTTGAATTCAAAATAAAGTAGCTGGCTACAGTTGCTTTTAAGGTCACTCTTTAAAAACTCCTAAGAGTCCAGGAGAATAAAAACAAAATGTTCTCATTCATATATTCATTTGCAAAGCCCAGCTGAAGGGAATATTAGTATCTGGGAAATAATAAATTTGTACATGGCCTCAAAGGAATTTTAATATAACTATCAATAAACAATAACGAAAATTGCTAGACTCTATGGAGCGCTTGTTATGTGTCAGGCACTGAACTCAGTGTTTACATGCATAAATTGTATGAAATCTTCATCACAGCCCCATGAGGTATATACTCATTAGCATCTTCACTTTAAGGTAAGAAAACTGAAGCCAAAAGGGATGAAGTAACTTGCCCAAGATCATTGCTAGATCAAGATTTAAGTGATGGCTGTTTGAAGCTTTATGTTATAGAACCTATATAAAAAAAATGAGAATTTAGGGAAACAACAGAAGAAAAGGGGTATATTCATTTTTCATACTGTGTGCCATGTAATCCCAAGACTGAAATGGATTTTTAGAAATTCTCTTCCCTTGTTTCTATATAGATCCTTTCACACAAAAATTCAAGTACCAAGATTAAATGCACACATGGATCAAGTGCCTTTCTGGGTGCCTCTCATGTGAGAAAATAAATCTTTTGTTGTCTGTTAAAATGCACAGTGATTGAAACGGGCCTGGTAAAGAGTACCTACAAGGGGAAAAGAAAGGCTTTTATTTTTCTCTTGGTCAATAAGCCATAAAGTATAATAATAAGGTGATAGGTCCAACTTTTTTACACATATACAAAAGCATAAACATGCAGATGAAGGCTGCACTTCAATTACTTTCCAATGCTAAACACATGCACGTGCCTTTACTGGATGCCATCTTCGGAACTGCCAGTCCTTCAAGAGGACTCTCATTACTTTAATGGGCATACTTCCTCTTACCAACCTCGACTACCCCTCAGAGGCCACAGTTGGCCCCACAAGGTGTTTGGCTCTTTCCCAGCTGAGGAAGGTTTGCCATCAGGAGGCAATTCAGTTAAATGCGTTGCAAACTCAAGGCAAAGCCAAAGCACGAGTTCCAAAATTATTCTCAGCAATGACAGCATCACTAGAATCAGTACACAGCTTGCCAAGATGAGGCTTCTGAAGGGGAGAAATACTCACATGAATGTATAAATACTGGCATATTTCTTTTAACATTTGAATAAAGAATTGGAAGAATAGGCTGACTTTATGTCCAAGTGAATAAATAGGCTGCTGCAATAATGATAATGCAGTTTTTGTGCAAGGTTCTGACCACTCCCTTAATTAAAAAAAGCTTGCCCTGAAATAATACTTGTAAAATGCATAAATCGCTTTCCCATTAACTTAATTATTATTGAAGATTTCCTTTTCATAAAGAAAAAAAAATGCAGGCCCAACAAATGCCAACATAGTCCTTGATCCTCCTAGGAAGCCCAAATCTGTGTGTCAGAAGATGCGCTCAGATTCAGATCACAAAAGGAAAGGAGTGGAGGGCATCTCTCTTCCTCTGGTCCGCTGAAACCCAGGAACCTTCCAATAGAGAAACTCATATAACAGAATCCTGGGCCCTGGGTCTTCTTGAATTAGCTATTATATCAAATAAACTAATTGCCATATATAAAGGGAGCTGGCACCTAAGACAAACAAACCAACGAAAAAAACAAAGAACATAAAGCAAACAGATACTGCCCTGGTCATTTGCGTGTCTTTAGAGGCACACCTTGGGTAGTCATCCACTGAAGTCCTAAGCAGCCAACTCCCTTGCCAGGTGACCTGGTCAAGGGTACAGCAGCTCAGGGGTGGGTACAGATTGTAGACATCTTAAGAGGGCAAAGGCAATCCACTTTCCAAGTAGGTAATTTCCTATTAACTTCAGTAAGGGAGCCCTCATCAACACAAAAAAGCCGCAAACTGTACAATACTCCTTATGTTTACTTGGCTGAGAATTGCGTGCATTTGTGGGTAGTGTGTGTGTGTGTTGCTGATTTTCCTTCAGATTTTACTCAAAAACAGCCCCTTACAGAGTACAGGAGAATGGGGGAGCAAGTATCACATGTGGATCTAAAAATTGCACATACCTTTATTATGAGTTATGCGTAAATCACACATACGGGTAGACCTTAACCTGTACAACTGAAATCTCACTCGATAACTATTCCTTTAAGCCCAGACTTTTCTCATCGCGTCCCTGACCAAAATCACTTCTAATCCAGCTCAACAATACAGGGTGCAACAAACAGCCTGTCCGGGCCTGCGGGTCTCCTCCCTGTTAGTCGGTGCCAAAGGGACCAGAGGGTCACCGCGCCAGATCAGCAAGGTGCTCCCTTCCCTAGCCTCTCCCGCCCAAATTCGCACCACTCCCCGAGCTTACTGAGTGCGGGGGCCCCACCTGCCCCGTCTGAGGTTGCTCGGTCTTGCTCTCTCGAGTAGCTGCCCTCTTGAGAGTGTTCATGACCCCATTCTACCAAGGGGGCTGCGTTCTCTTGGCCTGGACTTTCCCGAGTCCCTGCCCCAGAACCCATCCAGCCACCTCGGATCCCCAGCCGCGGCATTCTATCTCTCCAACTCCCTATCCTCTGTAATTTAACCAGCCGCCCCCCACCCCCAGGCTCTCCGCACAACTCCCCTTCCCGCACCCACTCTGTTGGAGAAGCCCCTTCCATCTTTCCTCCGAGAAGCCACACGCTTGGCCCCACCCTACCCTTTCCAGGGATCCCTCCCTCGGGCTCCCCGATCCCGCCCCGCCCGCCTTGGGTTTCCTCTCCTCCGCACACCCCTCTCAGGTTCTGTTCACCTCCGCCTTGCAGAGGGCGCCCCAAGAATGCTGACAGGGCATCCCTGGTTCCGCCCCCTCGGGTGGAACACCCCCCGCACGGGAGCTTCCCAACGTCGCGGTCCTAACCCGCCGCCTCGCCATCAGGGTTGGGATTCGGAGAGTTTCCAACACCGAGCACTGACAACCCGCCCCCGGGCTTCCTCGACATCACCATACCGAACGCCTCTCCGGGTTCGGAGTCTGGGGCTCCCCTACGTCGCGATCCTGACATTCCGCCCAGCGTGCTCCCGCCCCGGAGCTCCCCAACAGCGCGGTCCTGATCCGTCGCCCCACCCGCTCCGCGCCTCCCGCGACCGACTCACTGTCAGGGGCAGCGGCTGAGTCTGTGCGCGCAGCCCAGCCCGGCCCAGCCCGCGCTCCCGCTCGGTGCCCGGCTACCAGCTTCTCGCAGGCGGCTGTGACCCCTGCCCGCGCAGAGCTGGGGAGCGGCAGGGAAAAGGGGACGGCCGGGGGCGGGCGGCGCCCAGCTCCGCCCCTTCCCGGCCTGGAGGCGGGGTGCGCAGACCCGAGCACCCACCGCTGAGGCCAGTGCTGCCGCCGCGGAGGAAGTAGACTGACGCTTCTTCCTTCCACACAGGGCTCAGACCCGCACAGCCCCTTTTCAGCTGCTAAAGGCCCGAGGGGTTGGGAGAGAAAGGAACATGTTAACCGCTGTCCGGTTCCTTCCAAGAACCCGGCCCAGGGGGCCAGCTCCCAAGTCTTTCAGGACGGGGACAAACAACAAACTGCATCGTGGACCTCAAGACTGAATCAAATCCCGACCTCTCACCACTCTCATCTGCACATTCAGGGTCATTCTGCCTATGAAACCATGTTATAACACACCCGGGAGGGTCCTTGGAGACACGATTTCACACCCCTGAGATACACTCATGAAGGACTCTCCTATGACTTACGCTTCAAATATACCTCTTACACTGACATTATAGGACCTCATTTCTATGCCACTCTATCCTCAACACACAGCACTCTAGCCGGCCCTTAGAGAGCAGTGGTTTACACATACAAGCAGTAGGGGGAAAGAGGAAATTTCACAGCTGGTCCCAGACTTGCTTCTCACCCACAGTTCTGTCTATATTTTACCATAAGGAAAACACACTTAAGATGTAGGAGCATCAATTAACAAATCAAATTGGCTTTGCGGTTTAAAAGCGGTCTTCGTTATCTGAAAAAACAGATGCTCATCAGATTCTGGGAAGATGGCCACCACCAGTGCTAGCTACTGTAAGAGGTTCATTTAATTTATTTCATCACTTTTCTAAGACAATCAGGCCTATTTCTGGTCTGTTGATACCAGGCACTTTTCCATTATTCCCGCTTCAGTGACATGTCTAACAACACTTCACATTGGTACAATGTTTTCACTTTTTAAAACATTCGAAAATCTATTATTTTATTTTTTCCTCAGCAAAACATCATGAAGCAAAGATAGTAGGTTATCCATTGGGGGTTATTCGAATTTATAAATGAAGACATTTAGACTCTAAGTAGTTAAATGGCAGATTTGGAACAGTCCAGACTAGGAAAATGTCAAGGTCCAGGTCTTCAGGGCCATTGTTCTTCCCACAGAATCATGGACCTAGCACACATATATACTGGTGGAAATGTCACAGTAGGCCTTTGGAGATTTGCATTCACCATCTCTGCATCAACCTCAAGATGTCAGGGAATTCGCCTGTATTCGCAAAATCTTGAGCCATCAATATTAATAGGTATTTATTTTCTAGCCAGAGATCCTAAATGTACAACAGAGCTGACTGAGAGGAGGTAAAAAGTCCCTTTTCTTCTTCTCTCTGCCACTCTCGAAAGAAAACTACAGGTCAGCTATAACCACAGGCTCAATCCAACTAAAGTGAGCTATTGGGTAAGAATTAATGAGTCTGTTAAATGCATGTTGATTATTCTTGCAACTTTTTTTCTGCCTGGCGTGTGGAGAAGGGTTCTTTTGTTTTAAAATATCAACAAGTCTTTTCATGCATTTTCAGTGTCACAGTAAGAAAATGGTAAATGTTCCATTCCTTTCCTCTGAAACTTCATCTACGGACCAGATGTGGGTGTGGGTTGTGGTCCAGAGCCACTAGATAAGAGTAGCAGCATCTAATCCTTTATGCTTTTTTTTTTTTTAAAGTATGTTAAAATAGGCATAACATAATTTTACCATCTTAACTTTAAAAATATTTTTAATTATGGTAAAATATGCAGAATATAAAATTTACCCCATTAAACCATTTTTTAAATGTATAGGTCAGAAGTATTACATACATTCACATCCCTCATGCTTTTTAAAACTACTTGGATCTCTACTAGCTTCTTCCATTTTCTACTCTGAGGTGATGGGCAGTACAAATTATGTTTTGGTAACTCTGGAAAGAAGAGTCCTAAAGTGACTTTACTATTTTTGAATCATAATAAAAGGCTCTTGGATCTTTCATAAAGCAAAGTCAGGATGGACATTCACAGCCAAACTTCATGAAACACTCTCATCTAGCAATACAATTTTGACTTGTGGTTTTTCCAAAAGCTGGAAACAGGCAAGTTCTTAGATACTGCAATATTTTCTCTAAAAAGGAAAGTACTAAACTGCTAATCTAATCAACATTCTATCAGACACATTTCCCTTTCAGATAGTCCTTGAAAGACATAGAAACAGCAATATACAACATGATTAAAAAATAGATATGCAAGATTAAGGAGCTATTTTTGTCTCGAACTCTAACAAAAGAATTTGGTCCATTTTATATTGTATACATACCACACTGACATTGGTTTTCTTTCACTTCTACTGTGTGTTTACATAGCATCCCTTTTCCAAGAAGCCATGTGATGACATCATATCACTAAACTGCATACATTTTATGTGACATTGGAAAGGGGTGGGAACTGTTATCCTGACTGTAACATAGAGAAATGGAAGCATGGTGTAGTTAAACCATTTTTCTGGAACATCTTGGTGTACTGGTTTACACTGGTGTACACTGGTGTACACTATCCTGAAAAAAGGCCTACTTGTGAAAACTCATACAAGAAACAGAGTTATTTAAAAGCCCTAGTCATTATTGTTTTCTTTTTATATCTCACAGAATGACTGAGGGCCATTAATTTCTTCACCATCTTAGCAGAGGAAAGGAGGGTCATTGTACACTATAAGTTTGGAAGTCAGCCCATCTTGAGTTTGAGCTCCGGTACCACCACTCAGAGCCTTCGATAAGTCGCTTAACCTTTCTGTGCTTCAGGCTCCTTATCTGTAGAATGGAAATAATAATCATACCTATTTCCTATGGTAATTGGTAGGATTAAATAAAATAATACACATTAAGCACTCAACATTGTGCCTAGCACATAATGAAGCCTTGATAAACGTGGGTAAAAAGGTACTGGCTTCATGTAAATGGTTGCTTATAGGATCCTTGTTCCAATACTTGCTACTGAAGAAAAGATGTACTATCCATGCATACCACACAGGAGGAATGTGAAGAATCTTGAAGACTTATATTTCTAACCCTTAAGTCAATTCTCCTCATTCCTTAACATTTCACCACCAGATAGCCATTCATACTTAGCTTATCTATTTAGATCCCCTGCCAGCTGGCCAAGTGGGAAAGCAACCATGACACTAATTTCACCAATTTCATACACGGGATGTTAATGAGCTGTGGTCAAATCAGATTAAAAATAAAAATAGAAAGAATGGTTTTATTGTATTATATGTCTATGTAATCTCATTCAGTGATGAAATGGTAAAGGTTTATTAAAGTCTAATTTGATTCCATTTGGAGTGTTCAATCCTTTTAAATTTTTTCCCATATTATTTTTTAAAAATAACAATTTGTTAACAATTCAGGAAGCAAATCAATTAACACATGTAGACAAGAGACACAAAATGCAGAAATTGCTCTTGGGTCTTAGTAACCTGGGCACATTTGAGGAAACACGGCCTTGCATTTAATCTCCCACTCTCTGAGGTAACTAGTTCCTGGTTCAAGAGTTTCAAATAGCAAACCATAAAGATGAATGATAAAATGACCAACAGGTAACCTTTTATAGTGTTAACAAAATAATATGAATTTCTAAATTCCAACATTTGATGTGTGTGTTAATTTTAACACTCATTCCTAAATTTAGGAAATAAAATACATAATTGCACCATAGCAATTTAATGGCAAATAAAAGTGGATATTAAAATATGAAGTCTTTCTTTATTCTTTAGCAGAAATTTGCAACTAAAAAGCCTCAGTAAATGGTCCTGGTTTCCCCGCTTTTCAAAGGTCCTGACAATTTTGTTTATTCCTTTCACTTTGCTCCTGATTCTTGCTCATTTCGTCCTAGGGGAGGGCGAGGTATGGTCAATCCCTGAACAAAGGGAAAATCAAAAGAATTAAACTTCCAAGATTCACGTCAAAAATTTTGAGAAGTAAAGATTTTTCAGTCTGCCCAATTCCAGCTCAATCTGGACTGTGTTCTAAAGGAAGATTTCAGAGGGAAATTTTTGATTTAAGGTTAGAGAAGGAGAGCCATGTGAACTTGCCCAGGATGGGGGGAGGGAGGGGAAAAAATAATTTTCTTTCTACCCTTCTAAGTTTTTCTGCCTAGTGTAATAAATTAACATGAGTTAGACTAACAGGAGAAAACAATCGAGTTTATTATGTATGTATATACAGGAGTTTCCTAAGAACATGGGACCCCAAGACAAATAGGGTAGTTAAGGTTTACGTTTATAATCCCTTCGAGACTAAAGAGAGGGAGGCAGGAGACTGGAACTTCAAAGGGAAAGTAGGCAATGCACAAGTAGTTGAGAAAGAGCAAACACTTAGTAAACAAACCATTGTCTAACCACCCAGATATAATGGGATATAGAGGAGAGTAGGTTCATCCCTATCTGCCACTTTTAGTTTATTTATGCTAAAGTGAAAGCTCTCATGTTAAGCAGGTTTTTCTGGCTGTATTCCTTTACATAGGTAAGGGGAAGAGTTAAAAATTCTTTCTATGTCTGTTGTTTCTTAAAAATAACCAGCTTAAAATAATCAATATCCCAAAAGAGCATATTTTGGGTTGGCAAACTCTGTTCTTTCTCAACGGAAAACCGGGGCTCAAACCTCTGGGCTTTGCTACATAGCCCTCCACCCTCTGTGGTGTGTTGCTAAAGGAAGTACAGGACCCCTTAGAGCTCATTCCAGTCGATCATCTATCATCTACATTAGGCTAATGAGCAAAGGCACAGACCACCCTTTGTTGACAGCTTGAGTCAGAATCCCCAGCAGTGGCAGTATTCTGTCCATAGCTTTTTAGTTAATGTTGATCTGGAGGAGCCTTATCTTGGCTCTCAGTTCCTTTAACTAGGACGGAAAGATAAAAATGGCAATCTTGGACAAGATGAGTAACAATTGAATTATTCATGCTTGATTCAGGCTTGGTTTCAAAGTTTTAACGATTTAAAAAGAAAAAAAAATCGATTTAAC